GACAGTCAGAGTATCAAGTGTAGAAGAAAACAATGGGAGCACTAAAAGCAACACAACCAGGATGTTGCTGGAGATTTTAAGATTAGTGATAAGCAAAGAGTTTAGATAAGGGTAGTTGCCTTCCATACTTAGGACTGGAGTACTGTTATACACAAAGATCAGGCATGCCTGTGTGATGAGTACCTGCAAGGGAGAACAGCAGTGATCTCATTGTACATAAGAAAGGTAAGAATTTCTCATGTCTCCCCTTAGGTAAGAAATTACAGACATCGCTGCTGTGCTGATCCATTCTTTTATCACATGAAGAGCCCAAGCAATCTTCTGCTGAAACACAAAATCCTGAGGAATTATTCTGCCCTGCCCCATTGCAATTCACGTTCTCACACAAACCATATCAATACACCCTCCTCATCTCAAATACAAAGTATCAAAAATTAAAAGCTAATTCTTAAAATAAAGAAATATATAATGAAAAATTAAAGCATCCAAACTCTTGCAAAGTGGGCAAAAGCCCACAGAAGCACCCAACTGATGAACTACACATTTAAGGACTTGGTGGGTACCTTGGTAGATGGCCAATCAGGAAAACGAAAAATCTGGGCTATCAGAGGGAAGAAACAGGTGTAAGACAAAAAAAAAGGCTGATGCCTTTCAAATGGGAAGAACGGAAGGTGTAATGCTTACGTTGCTTTTCATACAGACACAAAATCAMAGTTCTTAGAAGGTTACAATATGCATCTTTATTACAGTCAAACAGGAATTCGATCCACTTCAGCAGTGCAAAAAGCAAGCAATTCAAGAATTCCTCTAATTAAGGCCATAAAGGCTGATAATTTTGAACTTCTGAAACACCTACACCAACACTAAGTGATAATATTACATAAATGTTGGCAGAAATGTGCCTTTGGAGACTCCAAAATCTTACACTCAGAAAGATCTGAGTCTAGCAGTGTATGAGTACTTTCACAGAGTAAGTTTGGTACCTTCCTGAAAAGACTCAGGTCTGGTGAGACACAACCGAAATGCTGAGTCAGCTATTCTGCTGTTYCATATGGCTGACACCAGCTGTTGTCCCTTACATAGAGGAGTTCTCCAACTCCCTGCTTTTGGAGTTTAGAGACAGTCCTGGAGATAAAGACAAAGCTTTTAATCTTGTTCCCAACATGACTTATTCTCATCTTGGGAAGTCCTCTAATTTCCTTCTGCCTTACTCAGTGTAAAAAGAAGGAACCACCAGCAAATTTGCAAATGTTCTGGGGACAGATTAATGTCCTTTTTGTATACCTCTAACCTTGCTATTGGCCCAGTTTCCCTGCTGCCTGTAGTTGCTTGAAAGCTGTTCTTACCCACCAACTAACTCAAAATGCTCCAAATGCAGAAGACATCAAAGTGGGGCCACCCTGACAACTTCTGAACTCACATTCTCACGGCCTGCTGACCCCAAACCTGGCATGAGGCTGGCTCAAGCACCCACAATACCAACTCTGMTACCCAGAAACAAAGACGGGCAAATGAGTTTAAGACCAGATGGCACCATTGCTAGAGGCTCCACCCAGGAAAAAAWTTCTGCTGTTCCAGCAGCCAACAGCCTTGCCCTCATCTTCCCAGTATTGCCTTCAGGCCCTTTTTCCCTCACCTTGCAGCAAGCACTGACTGGGCCCAGACTGCCAACAACACCAGCTCAGACTAGGTAACAAGACCAGTGGCACATGATTTTAAACAAATAGCACTGTCCTCTGTATAACTCTCCAAGGCTGAAATCTATGTTATGAATCKCAACCAGTCACAGAAAGTATTTCACAGTAGCATATATGAAGGTATTTCTTCCTYTGAAGTTGCTAATGAAGCCACAAATCCTCCTAATATTGATACTTATATATGTAATCCTCTTACTAAAAGTTTAGTCTGATTAATCTCATCCTTTGAACAACATTCTAAAAATTACTTCATTTGGTGTGTGTTTCTGGTACTGTCTRATCTCTTTTGTTTCATCAGTTATTAATCAAAACTCAACTTCAGAATAACAAGACATTTATGCARCAATTGTCACTTACCATTTGTTACCAGGTCTTTCACATGCTGTAATATTATTTTAAAACCCCTCAAAACATTAACAGATAAAATCCTTTCTTATATTATTATTGTCCCTGCATGTGTATATACTGTAAAACTTGTGGATTTTTTGTCATTAGCTCTAAGGCCAAGAGTCAATATTTTATAGGCATCATACTAATGCAAAATACATTAGCACTAACATGAGCTACACTCCTGACAAAGTGTTTACTCCACTTCAGCCTGCTTGACTGAGTTCTCACCTTCATTTTCTTTTGTTTCTCTGTCTACCTAATGCATTTTCAGCTATCATCATCTTAGTTCAAGTAGGATGTTTATCATTTGGAGCTCTCTGTGGACTGTTTTAAGGGTTAGTTGCCTCCTGTTTCATGACTATTATAATCAGTTTAATTATAGTAKAAAGCATCTTTTTTTCTTTCTTGACTCATCAGTGGCCCAGTATATCACCTTTTAGAAAATACAGAATATTTTACATGTGACAGAAAAGGACATGTCATCTCAAGAGAATATGTATTTTTTGTTGATGTTGTGAGATACTCCAGGGCCAGTTCTGGCTACTCCTGAAGACTTGTGATAGATAGAAACTATAATTATACTATAAGAGTATAATATTCTTAACACTCCAAAACTTCTTMTAATCAACACACAGTTTAAGATCAGATAACATTTTCAACTTAATGACTGAATACAAACAAAAAAATATAAAGCTCTGTTGTTCCCAAATGAACAACACACTATCACTGGTGAGGCTCATAAAGCAGAGTGCTGAGGCTGATAAAACAGMGCACTGGGATAATACGTCAGAATCATAATTCCAAGAAAGAAACAGAAAAACCCAAGGCATGATAGGTGATGCAGCAGCATGCTGAAGTTTAAAATAAAATGAGAGAGCTAGAGCATGGCTAACTTRGTTAAAAAATTTCAAGATATTGATGGCAGTGCAAATCATAGAACCACAATTTGGGATGGAAGATACCTTGAAGATCATCTGGCTCCAACCAGRAGAGCAGGAATCTAAGGACTGTAAACTCTGAGGCTGAAGATATTTTCTGGATTAAGCACAACCCCTTGCTATCTCATGTTATCTCAMCATAGAATACTGTTGAGAAGTAA